AAAAAAACCCAGAATGCCCTGAGCCCAGAAACCCCTTCCCTCTGAGGCATTTCGGACTTTGAATCTGTGACTGGCAGTGCCCTGAGCACATTCTGCCCCTTGTGCGCAGGTTTCAGTCCTGGCACAGGTGCGCGGGTTCACACCCTGGAAGTTGGGTCGCCTCTCGCAGGCCTGGGCAGTTCCCCACTCTGCTGTCCTTTGGGCAGCGCCCCTCACTGATTCCCAGGGCTGTGGAGAGCAGTCCCCTAATTCCTCAGGAGATTCCTGTGCACCGCTTTACATGTGAGCCCTGAGTCTTTTGCATTCTGAACCCAAGGAGGTTTTGTTGCTGTCATCACACTTCAACAGGGCGTAAGGAGGCTGAGGGACCCTCCCAGGCCCACAGCGGGCACCTGGCACCCTGGACTCTCCCATGCCTGGTGTCACCGCTAATTCACTCCCCTCCATACTGAGGCCACACCGCCCTTAGTGGAGTCCAGGACCCTTTCTCCTCACTATCCAGGGCCCTCTACTGTTTACAGAACAACATCACACATTAGCAGGGACGCGGGGCAACTCTGGGACTTATTTAAAGGCCCACATAGCAGAAATTATTTTCCTTTTTCAGTCTTATTCTCTCCTGAAATCCAGAGGCTCTATAACCACTGGGAACACAATGGATTGGACGTAGAACCAGGACCCTGTGTTTCTGCTTTTAAACTACATGTTGAATAGATTTCCAGAATATCAACTGTGACCAGCCGGGTGTGGTGGCATTCACCTGTAATCCCAGCACTCGGGAGGCTGAGGCAGGAAGATCGCTGCTAGTTAGAGCCAGCCTGGGCTACATAGTGAGTACAAGGCCAGCCTGAACTACATAACGAGACCCTCAAAAAACAAAACAAGGGGGCTGGGGCTTTGGCTCAGTAGTTCCACTGCCTGCCTCCAAGCGAAAGGTTCCAAGTTCAACCCCCCTTACCAAAAGAAAACAAAATACAAAAACAAAAGGAATTTAGGGCTGGGTATGTAGCTCAGCGCTGTGCCTGCCTGGTATGCAGAGGCCCTGAGTTGGATTCCTGGCACCAGAAAAAAAAAGCGGGGGAAAGGAAAAGGAATATAAACCAACACACACATGAAAGCACATGTGTTTTGGGAAATCATAGCTATTTTTTATTAAAATAATATGTTTCTGTAAACACGGCATGAGTTTACTAAAATACATATTTACAGCTGTAAAATTTTTTATCCCCAGCACTGCAAAAAAATTAAAAATTTTAGTCTGAACTTCAGATTAAGAAATACACATTATGTGAACTATCTGTAGAAATAAAAACATAAACAGAAGGCTTTTGGTTTTGTTTGTTTGCTTTGTTGGCTGTGGTACTGGGGATTGAACCCTGGCCTTAGGGATTTAGCTCAGTGTGCCACCACCTGCCCTGTACCAAAAAACAAAACAAAACAAAACACGAACCCTGGCCTCATACTGAGCTACACCCCTAGCCGTTTAGTTTTTCAGAGCGTTTATTGACTGGTGCAGAATTAGGGAACCCTTTGAGAGAAGTGCTGTGGTCCCCCCAGATTCTGCACCCACTTCCGGGGCTTCCTTGACCTCTTGGGGGTTTGGCCAGACTCTGGGATGTGCTGGGAAGCATGGCTGCCCCCCCCCCGCAAGGCCCCCCCCCGCAGAAGTGGGCACAGAGGCTGGGGCGAGGGGAGCAGGAAGGGAGCATGGCCACCTGATGTGGCCCGGGCTGGAATCTTTCCACTTCACCCTGAATGAGGTCGAGGGGAACTGCAGAATCGCTGATCATCGCTTCCTGGCGCTGCAGGAAGAACGGGGGCCACTCAGAAACACAAAGGGCCCAGCTGCAGCTGACTAGCAGCAGGCACCTGGGGAGAGGACGCAGGATGGTGCAGGCTGGGGGAGGGCCTGGCCGTCCCTCCTTCCTCTGTCCACCCCTTGGTCGCTCTGCTCAGCATCCCTGACCACCAGCCGGGCTCTGGGGGGCTCTGAAGGGAAGCTGACCACAAGGCGGGCTGCTGGGCTTCCTGGGTCAGCACAGGCCCAGGCAGGTGGGGGCCGCACAGGACTTGTGTCGAGAGTTGAGGGAGAGGGTTCTCTGGAGGGAGCCACTCCGATCCGGGCATCTGGGCAGGGAGCCTGCAGGAGACCTGGGCCCGAGGCCAGTGCTGAGCTCTGGAGAGGGCCAAGCTGAGAGGCAGCAGAGACGGTGCCCTCTGAATGAAGGCTTTGCCGCAGCTTAGGCAACTACAGCAAGACCCAGAGCCGGTCGCAGAGGGCAGGCCTGTAACCCCAGCACTCCAGGGCCTCAAGTTCAAGGCCAGCCTGGGCTACAGAGCGAGACCTTGTCTCAAAAGACAACTGAGAAAGGAAAAGGGAATGAAGGCACCCAGGAAAGAGGGGTCCATGCGGGGGTGTGCGCATGGGAGCTGGCTGGCTGCCCAGAGCAAGGGGGCGGCCCCTGTGACCTTCATGCCCAATGGGATGCACAAGGTGTATTGGTCACTGGCGCTGTGTAACAAATCCCATGCACTTGGCGGCCCGGCCGACCCACATCTCACCTCACTGTGCCCGTCAGGTCTCAACTTTCTCTCAGCACAGCAGTTTGGTTCCTCGAGGATATCACAGACGTCTTGCTCTGATGCCCTCTGATTCCTGGACCCTCTGCCCGGCCATCACCTGGTAGGGCCTGGCCCACCGCAGATGCTCCTTTCTGGTTGGTGTCATATCAGCTGTCACCTGCTCTGAGTGATGTCCGGTCCTATTCACGGCGTCCCCTCATTCAGAAGGACAGGACACTCCTGAGTGTGCAGGTAGAGGTGGGAATCTTGGGGGTAAGTTTATTTTTAGTTTTAGAGGTTTCTGTTGCTTTTGTGGGGAGGGGGTTGGAAGGGGGTTTGGTACCAGGGATCAGACTTGGGATCTTGTGCTTGCCAGGTAGGCGCAGCACCACTGAGCTAAACCCCTGGCCCTAGTTTTTTTTTTTTTTTTTAGCTGGAAAACAGACCTTTATTAGTCTGGCCAGACGACACTCCCGGAGCCAAGTAGCTCCGAGATCCCTGGCCCTAGTTTTAGGGATTGTTTTGGTACCGGGAATAGAACTCAGGCCCTTGTACTTGTGAGGCAGGCAGTGCAACCACTGAGCCAAATTCCCGGCCCCCTAATTGTAGTTTTTGAGATAGGGTCTCACTGTATAGTCCAGGCTAATTTTGAACTCACTACATGGCCCAGGCTGGCCTTGCATTCACAGTGATCCTCCTGCCTCAGCCTCCCCAGTGCCGGGATTACGGGTGTGTGCCACCACACCCAGCCTTGGTCATTTAAAAATCCTGCCTCCCGTAGGTGGCAGTGAGGGTGGAGGGACTTCTTAGGGGTAGGGATTTAACCGACTTGGGGGCCTTGGCAGGGCAAGGTGGTATAGGACAAGGTCCGGAGGGGTCACTCCTTCTGAAAGTCCCTTCCCCATGCTGGAAGGAAGGACTCACAAGGATTAACCCGTGACCCTTTAGTTATCCAGGAGATAGCAGGACAAACACCTGTGCAAAACTCAGATGTTTACAGCAGCATCATTCATAATAGCCGAAACGTAGAAGCCATGCAGATGCCCATCGATAGATAAGTGGATAAAGAAAATGTGGTCTGTCCATAGAAGGGGAATATTACTCAATCATGAAAAGGAACAAAGTACACAGCTGCGATATGGAGGAACCTTGAAAATAAAGCTAAGCAGAAGCCAGGCACAAAGGCCCATATGCTGTGAGCTTTCATGTCCATGAAATGTTTAGAAGAGAGAAATCTACACAGATGGAAAGGGCATTGTTCGGCTGAGGCCACAAGTGGGTGGAGGACCGAGGGTGAGCTGGTGAGACCTGGTGCATCTCTGAGAAATGAAAATACCCTAAAGTTGGGCTCAAGGAGACAACAGCACAACTGCATGCTAATTAAAAGCCATTGAATTATGCACTGGAAGTGGGTGGATTGTATGGTATGTGAATTCCATCTCAATAAAGATTTTTTTTAAAGAAAAGATATGCTGTCTTTAGTCACCGAAACAAGAAGTCATGATGTCATTGTGTCTCACTTAATGTCACCAATAGAAGTAAAAATACTCTGTGAGGAGGAGGGGAGGCCACGGCGAGGGCCGCAGGAGCTAATTCATTCTCTATCAGAGGGGAGGAAAATCCAGACAATGTGCGTCGGAGAAATAGCCAGAGCATGATTGTTATTCAGAGATGACAAGGCAAGGAAGAGAAGGAGCTGCGAAAAATTACAAAGGAGCAGGATTAGGGGTGGAACAGGCTGAATTATTTCACTTGGAACCCCTTGGGGACCATGAGATTCTTCTTCTGTTTTCCATTAAACCACCAGCACCTATTGATTTACTCAGGAAATCCATTTTAATTTAAAATAAAAATAAAATATGACCCCCCAGTGCTGATTCATTTACTTGAGTGGTTCTCAACCCGGGGTGTGGGCACCGCCTCGAGACATTTCCGGGGTTCACACTGGGGGAGGCCAGGTATGGACAGGACAGTTACAAAGACCAGAGGACGCCCTGGGCCACAGTTAGGGGTCTGGCTTGTTTCATCATCAGAGGCCCATCTTTGGTGTCTATGGCTCCTGCTTCCCTGCATGCTGTGCTTACCTCTCTCTGCCTCAGTTTACACACGTGTAGAACGGGGGTCGGCCAGACGTGATGGTGCACATCTGTAATCCCAGCGCTCAGGAGGCTGAGGCGAGAGGATCTGCGCCTGAGCTTCATAGCAAGTTCAAGGCCATCCTGAGTCAGATCCTGTCTCGAAAACACAAAATAAAAAATGGGGTAATAGGCCGGGTGTGGTGGCTCATGCCTGTAATCCCAGCACTGGGGAGGCTGAGGCAGGAGGATTGCTATGAGTTTGAGACCAGCCTGGACTACATAGTGAGTTCCAGGTCAGTCTCAACTACATAGTGAGACTCCGTCTCAAAAAACAAAAAAATCCTACCAAAAACAAAACCAAAAAAACCAGGGGTAATACAGATGCCCTGCTGAGAAGGCCTGGGCACCTGCATGCCGAGGGGCTGTAAGAGGAGGCGCTCTGTCTCTGCTGGTCAACACTGCCCTCACACTCTGCTCTAGCAAAGAATGGCGCTTGCCCAGGCCTGTGGTCCAGGGGGTGGAAGGCTTCTCCGAGGTCCAGGCCCCGGTGGGGCAGGGAAAGAATGCCGGGAGCTGAGCTGACCCGGGAGTCCCCAAAGCGTCTGAGAGCAGCTCTGGGAAGGCCGGGACTGGCCTGCTGACCCCCGGGGAGGCTGCTCCCAAGCAGGGTGCAGCCCTGTGGCTCCCGGTCTGGTTCACCTCTTAGGCAGCTCTCGCCCCACACCCTGCAACACTGAGTTGGGAGACAGGAAGTGTCGGCCAAGGTCACACAGTGGCTGAGGGATCCCCACCAGGCTAAACCCCGGCTCCGGCTCTGGCTGGCTGCCCTCGGGGACTCGCTGGCTGGTCCTAGAAGGGACAGAGCCTTTCCTCTCAAGACTGCTGCCCAGCCCTCTCACCCATCCGGACAGGGAGAGTTCTTTGCACCCAGCCTGTGCACGTACTTTTTCCAGCCCCGGTCCGGCCGGGGAGGAGCCTCGCTGTACCCCTCTAGGTGTGAGGTAGGGGTAGGTAAGGGGTCCAAAGAAAAACCAAGATGTGTTGGTGAAACTCAAAAGGTTCGCTCCCCTTGTCAGTTTAGGGAGATTTTCTCTGGGAAAGGATCTTTACCATCCTCCTTGGGCAGGCGTCAGGGAGACCCCGGGAAGTGGAGAGGTCGCCCGGATTTGGGGACAGGGCGCAGGGCCCAGGGCTGGGGTCCTCCGGAGAAGGCCCTCCCCTCATTTCCGGC